GTTGTGCAAATGGTTCTCAACCAGAGGAACCAGTTTGGTATCAATCGATCCAGACACGGCGTCCTTCCGATGTTCATTAAACCAGTCAGAAATCTTTTTGATTATTGTATCCAACATTGGTATCAAGGCATACCTCCTTGCGTCCCTAAACGCGCTATTCATTGACTCCACACTGTTGCTAGTGTCCAAGTTGTATCTACAACCTGGAAATTAGACCCTAGCACATGTTTCTTTGTTAGTGTTCTCCTCCACATATTTGAAGGCTGAAGGATATCTCACTTTAAAAGATGCATAAGCAGCCTCGAACTCATGCACTGTGTAATACCTAGCCAACTCCATAAATCTCCATGCCACTACAGCTTTGATGGTGTTACAAGCATGATTTCTAACATTCTGAGCTAGATGCCATATACAATGGCCATGGTGAGATTGTGGATACACATTTGCTACAGCAATGATGAGGCTCTGATTTCTATCACTCATAAATACTATTTCATAAGAGTCCGGTATAACAGTTTTGAGCATATTGAAAACCAAGTCCAACTAGCATTATTCTCACCGTCGAGTACCCCACTCGCGAGGGGATAATGGTGACGATTAGGATCTTGAGCTTTAGCAAATACTAGTACACCGCCATATCCGTTCTTGAAACGTAGCATCCGCAAGAATCACTTTTCTCATGACCTTAAACCCTTCAATGCAAGCTCCTAAAGCTATGAAAAGGTACTTGAACTTACCTGCCTCATCCAACTCCACCCTTGTTGTTGTTCCGGAATTAACCTGCTCTAACATGTACAAGTAGCTATACAACATCTTGTAGCTGTCTTCTGAATTACCACGCAACTCACGCATAGCTAGATTTTTCCCTCTCAAGGCTGTGGAGTAAGATACTGAAACACCCAGTTTTAACTTTATTAAATCCATAATATCTCTTGGAAGAGGAGTCCTCAGTTTTCCAGGATATTCCTCATTCAAAAAAGTTGCAACTAATTTGCAGAGCCTTTCCTCTTGATGTTGCAGCTATTACTTTGACTAGTCCGAGAGCATGTATGCACACCCCCGTACCTCCTAATAGAAAAAATTTCCGTCTCTGGAATCCTCGCAGCTCGTAATCCCCATTTACAGCTTTCATCACAACATTTTAACACCAACCGTTTATGATCAGATTTTTTAATAACATAACGAAAGCTTTCACCAAATGTAGCTCT